TAATAACTGAGACTAATGGTAACTGTGTAACGATACTGGATAGAGAAGGAAAGAAAATTAGGAGGGTATAGAGGAAGTAGTAATGTCAAGTTTCCTGATCCCCGTGGTGTAGCCATTACTCCAGACAAATTCATTCTTGTATCTGATAATCACAGGATCCAGAAGATAAGCATGGATGGATACCTTATAGCATCAGTTGGTGAGAAGGGCAGTGGACCACTACAATTCAATAATCCTTCTAGTATAGCCATTTCTCCTATAACAGGACAGGTTTATATTGCTGATTATGGTAATCATTGTATACAAGTCTTGAATCCTGATCTAACCTTCTCTCATTCATTTGGTAGCTATGGATCAGCTAATGGACAGCTTCAGTTTCCATTTGACATTGCGTTTGACAGTCAAGGATTAGTGTATGTTACTGATTGTTGGAATCATCGCATTCATAAGTTCTCTCCAGATAGAAAGTTTGTGGGTCAGTTTGGCACTGAAGGATCTGGTCCTGGACAGCTTAGTTATCCAGTAGGTATAACAATAGACACTGCAGCTACTGGTCTAGTGTATGTTAGTGAAGAAAGCAATCATCGTATCTCAGTCTTCACTAGTGATGGTGTGTTTGTTAGGAAGTTTGGAAGTGAAGGCAGTAATATTGATCAGTTTGATCGTCCTCATATGTTAGCATTTAATAAAGATGGATTGTTGTATGTTTGTGATATCAATAATAGACGTCTTGTTGTTTATTAAATAAGTTGAATTAATTTTTAATATGTTATAATTTTGCATGATTATTAAAGAATATCATTTTTTCAATTTTTTATTATTAATTTGATTTTTTTGAAATACCATATTGTAAAATAGGGTTGGGTGGTGTTCATGCCTCAATCTTTCCATAGATAATAGAGTAAATGAAAGGGATTGGAAACTTCTGTGCTTCTACATTGACTTTTTATGTCGCTAGGCAACGGATGAGGGTTACCCCTTTTCTTAGCAACGGCCACCGACTTTTAGCAAGAAAGCGTCTTGTTTGTGACCTTTCAAAGGCTGTCATTCTGTAGTGCATTCATCATTACTTACACTGATTTTTGCTGTTAAATGACAGTGATTGCAACTACATTTTGTTTTGTACCTTTTTCTTGAAAGTGTTAAACAAATCATAACAACTAATTCAATCATTCAATAGAGCATCACTAGGTGGAGGTCACCCACTTTGTTTCATTTGAAAATATGATTTCGTCTATCCGTAATGATCAATTTACTGTTAAGTTTGAGAGGTTTGTTTTGTACCCTTAACTTAAAAACTAAATGGTCTATGACATCAACTATCACACTATTCTAATGCTTAGAACATACTGGAGGTCACTGGCACACTCTCAATCATGTAGATTATAAATTACAGAAAATATACAATTAAACATGTAATATGGTGATTAATGATTGACAGTGTTGATCAACAATGAAGTCAAGCTGCAAACATAATGATTGCCCCAGCAGACTACTTGGGCAAGTAGAAAGAGTGTCCCTCTACATTATTGAAGGGTTATCTGTACAAAATAAGACAATATGCAACCAAAAACTAATGAAATGTACGCCTACCTGCTTCATTTCTCCAGCCATTTTCAATTTACATACGATTAATTAGAGCGAATTGGCTTAAAATTAATACGGTATAGGTAACTAGCTTTTTCAACCACAAACGGAAGTTTCCAATCCCTTTCATTTACTCTAATATCTATGATATTTCTTAATATTGAATGAATGCAACAAACTCAATGAATACACTACTATAGTCAATGAATAATTATAAGTAGGTCAATCAAGTCATTTTGATGGATTAATTAATACAATTATACATACACCTAACATATCAAAATATGCCGTGAATACTAACATATCAGTATATTGCCCAGCCCTCTCCTTAAGGTTCATTCTGGTATGAATGTATTAGTGTGTGGTCCCAATGGGTGTGGCAAGAGCTCTTTATTTAGAATATTAGGAGAGGTCAGTATATCTTACATGTACTGCATATAAAGCATTTTAATGATTGTTTTATATGAATATAATATAAATGTACGTATTATGCATCATTTCTGTAATGATCATGTTCTTTTCATCTACATGTATATGTTCTTCAAAATGTACATGTATTTTAATGATACTGTATTGCCTGGTTTGCCTCAGTATTATTATATTCAGTATTATTAAATTAAAAATATATTTTTAATTTGTTTTTTATCTTCTACTTTTTATCTGTAATTAATAAATTAATTTTTAGAAATTAAGAAATCACCTTTTTCCCCACTGGTTGCAATGGTAAAGCCAGTATTCATTATGTAATACTGTCATAACTTCCTTTAGTCACAAGATCTTTGAGTATATTTAAGGTATCGCCCACTTTTTGTGTCTAGCTGACCTTCTTTAGTCTTTCTCTCCTCCTTCCACCTTCTTCATTTTGTTTTGTTGTTTCATCTGGTCATTAGGACTCTCTCTCATCACTCATTCACTCCCTTCCCTTCTCCTCCTCCTCCTCTACTTTGTTTTACATTCTCATTCATTAATATAAATTCACCTTTACTACTGGTTGTTATAATAAAGGAA